GCTGTGTGTGTGTGTGATGTTACCTGTATGGGCAATAACCTGTAGAGAACACTGAGAAACACCTCTTGGTAAATATTCATTCGCTGTAACAGATTAATGGTTCTTTTGGATTCTGTCAAGTTGTCATGGATCAATTCTGACAGTCCTGGGAACACACACRTACACACACTTAAAAGATGGCTTTTCAAACACAATGACAGAACAGTTTAGTATCACTCACTTTGCAACAACCAAAAAAAAAAGGTTTTAATGCTTCTCTGGCCTAAATTACAAAGCACAATGCTATTAAAGGAAACTGTTTCAAATTTCACTGAACTGTTAATACCACTGTTGTGTTCTTATCCTAAATCTTCACTCTTCTTCTTAATCTTTGAGATTACAATGAATGTCTGAAACCAAGAGTCCGTTCACCCTTAGGGAAGAACTCTAAAAGTTCACTTAATTTCTTCAATTTAATAACTAAACACAGTTGAACAGTTTTCTCTAAAAGAAATAAAATAAAAACAAAATAACAACTTAGAAAGAAAAAAGTAAGACTTTTCATTTCACACATGAAGGAGCAGAAACCCTGCTAGAATAACAAAAGGCAACAATAACTTTATTTTAACTAATCTGTATACAGCCGGTGCTTCTCTTTACAAAGTTTAGATGAAACATAAAAAAAGCTAAATTAAAGACATCAGAGCAGAAATCAAATATTTTACAGTTATTTTTACCTAAACATACATTAAAATGATTAAAAACTACTTGAACCAAATCTGAAATACAGGTAGGGACTGGTGACATTTTGATGATTGCTGTATGGTGGTGATGCAGGTATCAGCACCATCACCTCAAAGCAAGAACAAAGCTGGTTCCACTCACAGCTGCATCCTTTCTGTGTGGAGTCTGCATGATATTCCTGTGCATGTGTGAGTTTTCTCACAAAGGACTAGGGTTGGGCAATATTGGAAAAAAAAAAATCATCACGATTAATTGGGGTATTTAGCCGATAATTTGACGATTAATCCCTGGAGTCCCTGGACATGCTTATGTCCTGGTTACATGACCAATTTAGTGGGAAATATTTGCTCTTCCTAAAAATCTGTTCCAAATTGTGTCAAAATTACAGACTTCAGGCTATACATCAAACTTTAAATTGCGTTGATAAATAAATTACAGAACTTATTTTTTTAATGTTCGTCATATTTGAAGCGGAGAGGAGCACCGAGCGGACTGACCTGGTGGCATTAATCCTATTAATCGTCAAGTGCAAAAAATAATCGATTAATGTTTTTCCTAACGATTAATTGCACACGATACGATTATACCCAACCCTACAAAGAACATGCATACTGGGGTAATCAGAAATTTCAAATGAACCTTCTTGAAATGTTTGCATGATCTTGAAACCTAACAATGCAAGAGCGTTGCGATCAGAGAAAGATTACGTTTTATTGTTTCCCAAGGAAAATAAATAATAATAA